TGCCTCCAGGCTTACCGCGACGTGGCGCGAACAGTTCAGCGCAGGTTAGAAGGCTCATGAGCAGGTTCATAGCCTGATTATCTCATCGATTTCGCATAGGTCCCCATGACCAAGTGGTATGACGGGTTGTTTGATTGTGTAAGAGTCCTGCTTCGGAGTGCTATGCACTTTTCGGAGCGATGTTCTCAAACTGACGTTCGCTGGCTTCATTTGTAAACCTGCTCATTCCGCCTTTTCTATCTCGTTTTCATCCACCACCAGTGACACCTAAGTCTTCACGTCAGGGTTATTCCTTTGTGGCCGCCACCCCTTTCAAGCACCTGTACTTCCTAAGGCATCTTTATGTGTACCGCAAAGAGCCCAGAGTGGACACCAGTTCAGGACTCGACCAACATTGTGTTGCCCAGGAGCTTACTCACCGGCGAAAGAAGGAGAACGAGATTGACCGCATGCACAAGGATCTGAACACCATTGAGCAGCATTTAAAGTACTGCAAGCGTGCCAGCGCCATGGCGACCCTGCTGGCTGCTTGTTCTGCCCACCCAAGAAGGTTTGTTTTCGAGTAGCGCTTCTCATGGTGTTCAGTATATGTCGGAAGCCAACCAATTCATGTCATTGTCGGGCGAGTGCCGAGCTGGAGGTTGGGAAGCTGTTGGAAGGAGAGATTGAAGAGCTGCCGGACTTGTCGGACGCTGAGAAGGTGATGGAGAAGTATCGCCTGGACGATGATGCAAAGTCGAAGCTGCGTGAAATCATCGAGAAGCGGGCGGAGGACAAGGACGAGGTCCTGGTGAAGATCAAGAAGCACCTGGACAACTGTGCGAATCCGTCGTCGATGATTTGCAGCTTGCCTGACAACACCGCGGGTGCTTGCATTACCTGCGGGGTAGCTGACCATGGCCATGTAGCCGAGCGCATCTTTCGCCTTCGAAATCCCGCCGGAGGTAACCGGACACTAGGCCACAGCCATTGAATTGAAAATCAAGTGGACAAAAAAGTTTTGTCGGGTCCTCCCATTCCATTCTGACCCAGGGATATCCTATTTGGCTGTGCTCGGTTTCAAGCAAACAGAAGCACCCTTCCAGGTTGAAGGTTTGATGCTTTCATTGTTGACATGTTATCTCGGGGACCCCGAGACATGGCAGTCTGAGTGTATCGATGAGGTCACGTCATATGAGTTTCTGAGCATAGCAAAGCCAGCAGCAATGACACCACGGAAGCAACAGTCAATGTAATTGAAATCATTGGAGCGTTCTGAGAAGGGGTTCTTCACTTGTCTATTTTCCAGCGGCACATACCGTCTCTCTGACACAATGACAAGATGTGTTTGCAAGGCAAGATCGCCAGGCCGCTGATTGACAACGAGAACTTGCCAGATCCGCCCGATCGTCCGCAAAAGGGCGGCGAAAAGGGCGAGGGCTGCTAGGTTGCATTGCGGCAACAAGGCTTGACTCGGGCCAGATCTTGGGCAAGAGACTTTTGGATCTTTTGGCACCAGTACATGTCAAGGACTGACGTCCGCGATCAGAGATTTGTACCTTTCATGGCAGAGAAGGCATGTAAGGCCAAAGCCGAACTGAGGAAAGGGCGGTGGCAAGGGCAAGGACAAGGACCGAAGCCGAAGACAGGCTGTGACAGACACACAGATCCACATGGTAAGTAGGCTTCAGAACTTCAGACACGGATGGGCGCTTGATGTTGGCCGGACCTACGATGTGTCAGAGTGCAGGTCTTATAGGCCGTTGGATCAGCATGTCAACTAGACAGCGAGCGATGTGCTTTTGAAAACATGTTTTGCCCCACAAGGCTTTGCGAGGTTCCAGAGGTCGGTTGCAGAGGCATGGCTGTAGCTCCCATGAACTCCAGCAGGACGAGGAGCTCCAATGGCCTTTTGCCTTCGGGTTCCCCATATTCCAGTGTTTTCCACTATATTCTAGAAGGTGTTCACCGTTCACAGAATAGGACAATCGGGACCGGCACCGCAGCCGCAGCCGCGACCGACATCGGAGCCGTAGCCGACGACGGCGCAGCCGGAGCGGCAAGGGTTTGTGCCTCCAGTTTCCAGGAGAGTATGCGGGAAGGTAACCAACAGGACGTACAGGAACAGTTGAATGATTTAGGGACACTTAGTACGTCAAGAGAAAGTTCGGGAAGTGGGACTTTGAGTCGTTCAAGGTTCTGTGGCGGACTCAGTACTTTTCTTTGTATTGTGTGTATCACAGACCTTTGAAGCCCGACGTGAAAGGAGCCGCGGGAGACGCAGCCGAAGCCGTGGCCGGGAGAAGAGCCGCAGCCAGGAGCGCAAGAAGCAGTTCGCGCCTCAAGCAATTGGAGCTAATAGTGAGGCAGCTTCTGCAGGATTTCCAGAAGAGCAGAAATTCATCATCCGGTTATCAAGCAAACCTTAGCACTATTTTTTCTTGTTGTTATGCTTTGTGTTGCTCTGTTGTGAATTGAGCGACAGTCCCCCGTGCTGGTGCCACCGCATCGTCGACCCGAAGTGAGCGCTCAACCGTTTCATGTCCGAAGCCGACAGTGCAAGACCAACGATCCCATACCAGGTCAGAAGATTGAGCTGCTGCTTGGAAGATCCTTCGCGAAACGCAAGTGATGCCTCGACATGTTCCAAGTTTCACAAGATGGCTTAGTATATCTGGCCTCAACTACGGTTGCCAAACCACCTCCCATGTTCTCTAATGTTCTCATGGTCTTCAGGTGTTCGAGGGGTTCTCTGCAACCCACTCAACCTCAAGACGCCTGCATTCACTTAAACTCAAGCATGACCGGACACGCTTGGGGAAAAAGGGCTGTCGGGCTATGATCGACGGCTGCGCCTGATCATTGTTAAAGTCTTCAGAGGGGGAAAGGGTTCATGAGGATTTCTCGAGGCTGGCGACAAATCCCCCAAGTGTGCTTGAGTGGCAGCACAGCTCCGTGACAGCATCTCGAATTTATCTTCGCCCAACAGACTCTGGGGCTCAAAGCCGGTGATCGAAAGGCTGTTGCCAAGGCCTGGCACTATAGAGCAAGGGATGTTGGGTGTCTCCATGAGTCTAGCCTAAAACGTAAGGCTGGAGCTTTGGAGAGGTGTGCAACGTTTGAGCTTTGTGAGTCGCGAGTTTTTGCGGCCACGGGACTCCAAGAGTCGCACACTCACCCGGGGGGACGGGCGAAAACGTAGAGTCAAAGCTCCGAGCGGGTACATGAGAGTAGAACATTCCACTGTGGATCAGATTGCCGCAGGGAGCTTTAAGGGTGTGGCCTTCACCTTCAAGCCCAAGGCACACGCTAGACAAATTCATGCGCCCTTGCAATCCAATTGCTACGCTCTTTCAGCCCCAACTCTCTGCTGAACGGTCTGGTTCAGGGGATGCTCCCCTGCTGGGCGGCCTTTTCGCAGACGTGGGGAGGTTCACGAATTTGAGTGTGTGGGTTGTTCAGGGTATCGAGAGCTTGAAGGGTCTCAGGCTACGTGAAAAGCGGGAACATGAGAAGAATTTCGGGGGCTGCTTACTGTTGGTTTGAGAAGAAACCGCATTCGAAGCTGCGGTGAGCACTGTGTTTTTCCTAACGTCGTTACCAAGGCCACCCGGCTGTTGTTTTGAATCCTCGCGCAGCATTCCTGGCGGTAGTTCCGACGGAGGATAATTGAAGGCAGTATTGGCAGTCTTGAAGAATTTGGACGTCGGGCTTCTGGGCTGAATGAATGCTGAAAGAGAGAGAGAGAGAGAGAGAGAGAGAGTGAGCCAGACAACGAGATGGGGTGACAGCGAGGAAGTGAAGAGCGCGTCCTGGCCTTGGTGCAAATGCTGTCCGGGTTCCAGGTTCTCGTCGCCCCACCCGCCCCCCAATGTTTCCAAACATGTGGCAGGCTTGGCGCGCCGTGTGCCAGCTGGAGAACCCGTCCTAAACCCCTAAAGCAGACTGTCCCGGTGCTGTAATCTGGGGGCAGCTTCGCTGCGGTAGCTGTCATCGTAGAGCTTTTGAACTGAAGGCCGAGGATGAGGACGAAGAAGGGCGTTTCTGCAGCGAGTAGCGTAACTCGTTTCTGCGCATTCAACTCTGAAGTCAGACTGGTGGCCTGTCCCTGTGGATGCATGTAAAGCTGATGATCCCATGATGCGCATGAGTCTACTGTCGTCCACCTTCCACAGCAAAAGCTGTCGTGCTTAGCCTTTCGCGGCCTTCGTGGATTTGGTGAGGCTGGTGGCGATGTGGTTGCTGTAGCCACGCAGGGATGAGAATGATGATGAAATGCATTGATTAAGAATAACCTTGATATTTCACTATTACAAGCCATTCTCACACGGTCATGTCCAGGGCTGCGTAGCTCGGGTTTAAAAATCGCGCACAGTGTGTCCGGAGCAGGCCCACCATCCGCCTCTCGGCTGGCCCGGGAAGCTCACCCGCGCCCGGGCCGAAATTCAACGAAGTCGCTTTGGGAGATTGGAGCTCTTCAAGGGTTTACAATAAATTTGCGACCCATTTGCATCATCAATTCTCCCGCAGGTCTCCACCGCATAGGTTTATACCGTCGCTGCGACTCGGTATTACCTCGACAGAGTAATCAGTGATCAGTGGGCTAATCACCGAGTGAAGCAGATCTGCCCCTACTTTCCGAGAGGATGGTACCCAACATGGACTGTGCATGACAGCTCTTATTTCGAGGACGCCCCTTCATGCGGACTATAGGTTTACAAAGCTCCCGTGTCGGAATGGAACTACAGGAGAGTATGCGTCCCCGGTTTCTTGGGCAGATGTCCTGAGTCTAGAACTCGACTTGCCTAATGCGAGCCAGGGCCGTGTTGGTCGGTGCAGCCGACCCGAGGTGCAAGCAGGGCGGATGGGGCTGGACTTGGGGATTTTCGGAACCTTGGTTGGGGGGAGGGCCAGACAGCACCAGATTGCTCATCAATTTGCATACAAAACCAAGGGCAGGAAAAGCACTGTGCCTTTTGCCGAGGTTGGTGGTCAGTGCCTGCTAAGTATAACGTTTAGGTTAGGTGGCAATCGCTGGTTCTTACGGTTGTTTGGGGTTCAGGGTTTTGGCACCTGGAGGTTGACTTTGTAGGGTTTGTGTGTTCAGAGTCGTTGAGTTTCAGTTTTGGGCGGGGCCACTCCGAGTTAAAGTTATTATTTGAAGCACGGCTTCCACTGTGGTTTTGTTGAGTTTCTCCGGCACTTGTAGGGAACTGGTGTTTGTGTCCCTAGGCTTCAGAACCTACCTTGCAAGTATGTTGCGCTCCTCGTCGCCACAGTGTGGAGGTGGTCTGGACAGGGCCATTTTATGGCTCTCGGATGCAGCACGGTATGCATGCTACAGGTGGCGATGCTCCGAACAGACGGGCGTGTCCGTCTCTGGGGCGGCCACTGCTTTGGCGGCAGCCGGGAGAGCGATGATCCTTCGGTTGGCAACTTCTGTACTCAGGGTTCAATGCTTTCTCACGCAGCATGAATCTGAGTATTCGGTATGCCTTCACAGCCTGCGCCATCCTGTGCCTCAGTTCTTCGCCTCATGCTTCATTATGGGTTCAGAGGGCGCAGCCCGACATCCTACATGTTTAACCGAAGGAGGGGTAGAGAGGGCATCTGTTGCAATGCCAGTACTGGCGCAACGTACATTCCAACCTACAAAAATCACAAAGTGAGGCCGACAATTATGTTACAGACATGCACCATATTAAGTCGAGTATCTGTATGTGTGTGATTATGTATGAAAGCCCATGGTGCTTTTGCAGTGCACATAGATGTACACACAAGTATATACATATTATATATATATATATTATACACATACATATATAATTACATACATACATACATGCATACATACATACATACATACATACATACATACATACATGCACACACATATGTATATATATATATACATATATATGTATATGTATATGTATATGTATATGCATCTATACATACCTATATACATATACACACATATGTACACATACCATATGTAGAGACACCGGCGTGTCACACCCGTGTTGTGTGTTGGTCGGGATACTGCACTCCCCCCGCGTCCCATACCACGTGGGAATCACAAGAAAGAAACATGGCGTCCTAGACCAGATCGCTTTGAGCGAGTGTGTGAGTCGAAACCAGATCGGTAGGGCAGCATCCTGCACCATCCGGGTTCAAAGCCCAGATCCCAATCCAACATCACTTGGCGGTGGCACACCGATGGGGCCTCCCTGCCGAAGCAAGGAAAGCAAAGGGGGCACGGACCAAGCTGAAGAAGAAGCGGCCAGCTGGGCTCGGCTTCAGTACGCCGAGGGTGCTTCTTGTCTGAATGGGCCTACATTCCTACATGTGTGACAACGTGTGAACAAGGCTGCATTTGCACCACCCCCGGCTCCTACAACTGGGTCGCCTTTGCGATAAACTCTCAAAAGCCCTGGTACCGAGTCTCGAACATGGCTTCCGAATGGTTGCGATGCAGTTTCGCTGCAGTACAGTAGAGGCCTTACCCTCAACTTCTAAAGCCCTGACTGCGATGATCGCCGGCTCCTAGTGATGTTCAGTCAAAGCGCCTGTGGATCGAGAGACCTCGTCTGACAGAGTCCGAGTCGCGAGAGCGTAAAGCCCTGACTGCGAAGACCTGCCGGCAAAGCCCCGAAGCCCTCAAACCCATCGAAGGTCAGATGAGCCTGTCACAGGCTATGATACTGGCCCCAAACTACTTGCTCCTTGGCTGAAAAAGCTCGAAACATACTCGTAGAGCTGCAGGAAGCAGGCTAGCAAGCCGAGAACAAGTAGGAGCTGAGCGTCCTTCACATCTTCCGGAGTGGAGCTCGGGGTCACGAAGGTTTAGGGCGGCGAAGGCTTGGACTTCACGCGCCTGCGATCTTCCCCATTACCCACCATTACTCCCAATCTCCCTTATCCGAAATCCGAGTGCAAGCTCATCCGGGCGCAAGAACCCTGGTTGTCCCTACGAAGCCGACCGGAAGTGCAGGAGATCCTCAAGTATCCGCATCCGGCCCTCCGGCGTCCGAATGCCGAAGTGCGGCACGGCAAGCAACCCTACAGGCCCTAACGGGAAAGCCCCCTATATACAATTATATATATGTATATATGTATGTATGTATGTATGTATGTATGTATGTATGTGTGTGTATATATATACATACAAAAACACACAGATATACATATATATATATATATGGATGCAGCGGCCCTGAACAACCACGCGATTTGCAGATGCCTGCTCGTGTCCATCTCATCTCAGGACAGACTTCGGTCCCAAGCTTCGGCAGCTGATGCTCGGCTTGAACTTGGAGCTTCACTCAAGCCATGGGGCTCTTGTGAGCCCTTGTGTCTGCCGGTATTGACAGGTATTCGTATCCTCAAATCCTGCAGCCACCCAAGAGAGCACTTGCAGCAAGGCTCCAGTCCTTTCACGGCCTAGGTCTGAGAACCTCTTTCGCACCATGTACGCGAAGGACAATGGCTGCGGGCTTGCCGCACCCCAGTGTGGCGTCAATCTGCGGGTTGGGACCCTGGCGAGAGTCCTGTCCTTGAGCATGTAAACAAGCTTCGAACAAGCCTAGAGCCTCTGAGGGTCAATGCAGCCTGGAAGTATTCGACAAAGAGTGCCATCGGGTACCTGACTGCTCGGAAAGCTCCAGACTAGACTGAAGCATGGTTGCGCCCTGTAGCAGCTCGGCATCGGCCATGAACTGGAAAGATTACGGACTAGCTAAGAATTTGGTTGGCATCGTAGGCGATGGTATGGCACCAATAATGAGTGTCTCGGCCATGTCTTAACCACGACTTTGACAATACAGACGCTGAGAGCGAAGCATGCCGTCTACTGCTTGTAGCAATCGGAGCGGTGAAATACAAGTAACGCATTTATAGGTCTCATGCAAACATGTATCCCCATGCCCCACACGGCCACCCTGTTCTGATTGTTTGTTTGATTAATCGTCTTCGACGTAGGGCTGAGAGATTATCCTCAAGACCTGTCTCACGAAAATGGTCATCTTGTTTCCATCATCGCCGTCACCACCGGAATTGGCAGCAGCACCACCACCATCAGTGGCATCGTCGACACTGTAAAGTCAACATCATGATTTTGGCAGTGGTGGTGGCTATGATAGCCCTATTTGTCGTGTCATCTTCGCGGCCGAAAGCAGGGCAACATCGGCAATCTTGGCGTCCCCATCACGACCCCCAGCATTCACACGATGATTTCTCAAAATCATCGCCACCGTCATCGACACATAGATAATCAGCATGACCACCATTTCTGCCATGATCACCATAACTGCAGTCATCAACAAATCATCATCGAATCATCATCATCATCATCATCATTGTGTTTTTTGTCAGTGGTCTCCTTGACACTGCCGTTGTGAGCATCATCCATTTTCCCGATCGGCAAGTAGTGGTGTTGAGATGACGGGTGGACATCTATGCCACTCAAAACCTGCATGCATGCGCCAGATCTGTATGCATGAGTGCGAGGTGGTAGCTGGGCAAAAGTTTGGGATTGGTGGGCTTGGAGCATAGAAGACGGCAGCCCTTGCTGTGGAAGTGGAAGTACATGCTAGCAGCGATGAGAAGTGGGTCCTGTGAGCGCGAAGCCTTCAGACTTTCTAAGCTATGTGTAGGTGATGGTGTACAACTACCAGCGCATCGAGGGCGAAGGTCGAAAACCTGAAGGCCAGTTTGGCTGTGATTTAGTTTGTGCTTCAGGCCTGTGTGGCTTGGAAGTTTTCGGGATTCATAAGGTTTTTTTCAGATGATTAGGATTTCTGGAACGAGTACGGTGGCTCTGAGAACCAGGCGGGCATGTACAAGTCTGTGCAGAAAGGGTAAGTTTCTATGAACTCGAGCCACTTTACCGGCAGACTGTCGAGCCGACTTAGCAGTTTAGCATGCAAGCCACGTTTTCCGCTTCGGAGTTTAGGGTCCAGGGTTATGGTTGCAATGGGCGTTTGGAGCTACTGTACTAGCATACAATGGTAGTCTTCCGCGCTTGTTATGTTTCCCTGGTACAGTGTTGATTTTGTTGTTTGTGCCATGCAGTCGCTCAGCAAACAAGAGTCTGCCACGCATCGATGCCTTTCCTGTGCTTTAACCGCTGACCACGGGGCCCTCACCTTCCGAGATTTCAAGGTGAGGTGGTCTTCGTGAACCCTCGTATCACGGCGCATTCCGAGGAGAAGTGCGAGGCCCCGTGTCACGTCGTGTTCTCCTGTGTTCTTCAGCGGCGAGACCAATCGGAACGCCAACCCTGTTAGCAGACCCGTTCTACCATATCAGACAATATCAGAATCACTTGCTCCGCCGTGGCCCAGATGCTGGAGGGCTGCCTCTCCTTCCCGAATTTCGGGGCCCCAGTGGTGCGGCCCGCGTGGGTGGAGGTTGGAGAGTTTCGGGTCTGGTTCCTTGTAGAACTTCGGGCTTCAAATTTGGGATCTGTGGCGCAAGGTGTGGCCGTGGGGTGAGAGACTTCCTGTGTTCGTGCAATGTAAGTTTTAGCCGTGCCGGGGGGGGGGGCTGTGTGAGGATGTAGAGTGGCAGTTTGATCTAAGTAGAACTTTCCGCTGCGCAGCTCTAGTGGGAAACGAACTTGGATGTCTTAGGTTTCGCAGCAGCATACACAGTCCTGCAACGATGACGCCATGCTCCGATCATCTGTCGGCGGCGCTGTAAACAATGGGAGGCATCATAGGGGCTGCACGGATCATGCGAGTCGCGCCCTCACGTCTGATCAGGTGCAGGCGGTAGACTTGGATGGAACCCCGCAGCTTGGCCTAGTTGCATCCGGAATGTGTTGGGGTTCCAGTGTCACGTATGCATCCCCAGGCATTGCCTCTGTGGTAGACACATGCACGTAGAGGCAGCCGCTTACTCCTATGATGTGTCATCCCAGGTATACGAAGCGATTAGAAGGCCCGTCCGGTTGGTTTCATTGCGCTTGAGACAGCATGCTCTTCAAAAGCTTAGACTTGCAACACGGGGTCCGGCCTGCAGCACACTATGACTTCAGAAAGATTTCCGGCAGCCTTACCGTGGTTTCCCGGAGAGAGCCGGAGCAGGTGACGAAGCTCGAGTTTTTCAGCACGAGTATGACCACTTGGATGTCGGAAGCTCAGATCTTCCGAAGTTCAAGGACACTACGTTTGGTGCCCTTGTCCCTTCTTTACTCTGACTGTGCGTGGCGGTGTCACACGCGCAGCTGTATAGTCAGAAGGGTGCAGCACGGTGTCAAGCAGGGCAACGAAAAACTATGCTGGCTCCGATGATTGACTCACTAGTATCATGTTTTCACTTGACTTAGTCTTAACTGTTGCGGCTGGCTGCTGCCGTTGTCTTTGCTCGCTGATCAGGCTTGTCGATGTCAGGTCTATGCGTATGAATGTAATGCACTGCCCATGCCATGCATGTATGCAGCATGTAATGTAGTATGCATGTATGTAGATAATATGTAGTTTGTGTGTTTTCTGTTTTGTATGTTGCATGTTCCTTATGTTTGCTGCCGGCTGTTGGGTGGTTATTGCCACTCTAGTGTGTTGTGGCGCCTGTGTTTGCTTTGCACATGCTCATTGTGATTTCTGCTCGACACGCCAACACACAGGAGATACAAGCAAAGCCACACTCACACACATAGGTAGATGGATGAATGGAGAGCCGGATGGCTTGATAGCTAGATGTAGATAGAAAGATGGATAGATGGGTAGATAGGTGGAGGTATGCGCATCCACACATGCACTCACTGTCTATTGTTGTGCATTGTGCTGAGTTTCCGGACAGTTGCCTCGCTACCTAATGTTGCACAACCGCCTGGCGCAAAACTCCATGACATCTTGTGCTGCTATGGTTTATAACAGCCTTTCGCGGCATGATGAATCCTCACACAGGTCTTATGCTTGTTGCTCCACAGTCTCTGGTATCGTCTTCACACGAATATTCTAAGCGTCTCGCGGCCTAAACCCTTTCAAACTGGCAGGGCATCGTTTATATAGACCACGTGGCTGACGAGAACAAGAAGGAGATCGCAGCCAAACTCAAGACGCTCTGCAAGGCTTCAGAAACCACAGTAGCGCTGGAGGAGAGAGCAAAAGTAAACGGCCGAAGTAGATGTGTTTTTGTCGGTATGTGGATAGGTAGACCAGAGAAACAGACTTGTTTGACAAGGCCGAACTAACAAGCCAACATGAATATCACTATGTACGTAGGGCCTTCACTGTCTATTTGGCGTAGGGCCTGGCTCTGTGATATATACATAGAGTTAGAGAATGAGAGAGACAGAGTTACAGATACACACACACATATTATATACATATACATATATAAAATATGTGTGTGTATATATGTATGTATACATGGGGTACCCCCGGTACCTAGGTTGTGTCCTGTTTAAGTTAGCCGCCTTGTCCCTAAGAGGTGTTCGTGTCCCTTGGTTGTTGCGTCTCTGGGAAAGCAAGTCTTTGTTTACTATGCTTCTGGCTCCCGAGGCTTCTAAATTTAGGGTGTACTGGATGTTTCTTAACTCAGGGTTTGCTCCCAAGGTTTCTCCAAATTTATGGAAATTGTCGGAAATGTTGGTAGAACCCACACTTTCCATGATTCCCCCCAGGCAAACAATTTCCATGATTTATCTGTGGGAATCATGGAAAATGTTTGTTTGACCAACATTTCTAACCCTTTCCACGATTCCCGAAACTGTGGCCCCGGCTCCTGAGGTTTCTCCAAATTCATGAACAGTGTTGAACATGGTGGTAAAACAAACATTGTCCATGAGTTGTTTGTGGGAGTCATGGAAAACGTTGGTTTTGCTAACATTGCCATCAATTCCCATGCTGACCGAAACTATGCCCGAGGTTCTCCAAATTCATGGAAATTGTTGAAAATTTCGGATTCGCCAACATCAGCTAAGTATTTCAACACGGTGTTATCCGAATGAGCACATCTTATGTACCCAGGCGATGTGGGTTTGCCAAATGGGCCGGTAAGGTAATTGCACCATCGATTAAGCTCAGTAGTTTGTCCAACACGAAACTAGTAATAATCTCTGCTTGAAGACGTTACCGTGCGAACACCAGTTTATTGTTTTTCTGCTTATCGGGCACAGAGCCATACTTCATGTCTACGATTAAGGTTTTACTACAGGAAAACTATTGCTGCACGATCATGCTTATGCTGGTTTAATCACACACGTCCTAACATAAATGTATATGGTAACCACTTGTGTCATTTGTTGCTCGGTGTTTGCATGGGGAGGAGCTTCAGTTGTTGTGTTTATGCTTGATGTGCTTACAAAAAAGAACCCTCAATCAAATAACTATCATTCGCACCAGGATTCTGACATACATCATTGTCAAATGGTCGTCGTTTGGTAGGTGCACAATTTCGAAAGCGAAGTTGAAAGAACTACAAATCCTAGTCCGACACTAAATGTGCACAGGACTTGTATTTTGCGCACACTTAAGATGGGCTAAACTCAGACTAAAGACCTCGAAATTAACTGGACCTGAAAAAGAAAACTAGGAAAGTCGACTAACGAACAATGGAACATAGAACAGTGTCATACGCAGCCACGGCATGTTGTATTAGGTTTGACTTGGAGCACTAACAGTCCGCCCTCAACAGGTTAGAAACAAGCAAATGTGCTACCTGATTAACCATCACCCTATCAAGAGGTCTTACAAGCACAGGTGTCAATGTTCGAAAGGCACTGAATGGTAGGTTTATACTCATCAAAATGTATAAACTCAGCATGTAGTACATGTACTGTATTAGTGCTAGGTTATTGTAAAACAAGGTTTCTGAACGATATAGGAAGTACTCTGAATGAATAATCACAACAGTAGTTGGCACAGTGAATCTTGATTCAGAAATGATAAGAAGTCGGGATGTACATAATGTTAATTCGGTTAGTATTGATGAAGTACAAGAACTACCGTAACAGGAGTCATGGTAATGGCAGAAAGATGTAATGACAACATTGCTAGACGTACTGCTAAAGCCACGCTTGATTTGTTGAATTCGACATCGAAGAACAGATTATGTAGCAGTATAGACATGGCCGAAAAAGAACCAGAGATCGGATTCCTAAGGCAATGAGGACCATACTTTCAGTAATGATACCGAAACCTACACGTATCATAGTAGGTCACTGCTACCATTGTTGCTATTGACTGCTAATTTGACAGATACACATGAACGATTGTGCAGTGGTGCAAAGACTAAAGATTGTAACAGGTAGTGACCCTATCTGACACTACGGCTGATCCCGTATATGATTACATTAAGCAATGAACTCACTAATTCGTGTAACAGACTGCAACACCCAACAACAACACTGACATTGCTGTGTAGACAACATTGTTTGTGTATAAACAAGCGGATGTTCACTGCACGTGTGTGTGTGTGTGAAAACGATACCGGCAGCCAACTAAACATAGTCACTATCCATCTTGATACGAAATCAGCGTGGGTGGCCAAGGGGATGCTACAATAAGATCCCATGCCGTGCAAAGCGCTTTGTGTTTCAGTAGGAGGAAGAGAAGCGTTTACAAAAGTCTTGCAGTTTTGTTGTTGGAGGAGGACGAGGGTTTACA